TGGGAGTGAAGTCCACTCATCTTAAAGTGGCCAAGTTTGGACAACACTGTAATACAGCAACCAGAATGCCACTCCCCTTCATTGGCTTTCCAGTGCAATAGCTGATTCAACAAGAGTAGGAGTTTGTGTTTCTCTACATTTCTATAATCAGGAAAAAAAAATCTGTTTCTCCTGTTCCTTGGTCCAAAGGTTTGTTAAAAAGCCAATTGGTATTTAAGCATGAAAATGTTGGTATTTTATATTAGATATCCATGTGCAGGCAGGGGGGAAAAAAAGGATACCAAATTGTTTTTCTTGTGAGAGTAGGCTATTGTCTCTCATTCCTTCAGAACAGACCTGATTTTTCTTCAAACAAGACTCTTCGGATATTTATGTGTGCTCACTATTGGTGGTCTCTTGAGATTTTATTTTTTAAATGTTACTATACGATTTTTAAAAAATAAGAAATGCACAAAAACGAGGATTTGATTCACGCTGTCTTTACCGTCATACATAGAGTCGCAAAAAGCCAATAAAATCAACATTCAAAAAAATACTCTGACGTTAGAGGCATCTTCCTGATGTTGTGTAACACTTGCTGGCAGACTGGCTGCTTTCCCCGCCCCCCAGTTTTCCTAGCCACACAGAAGATTAGCTAGGTTAAAGTGAAGTTAATATCTACCCTCCTCCCCACTGCTAGATCCAGATTGGATCTGGTGGGGCAGGGAGAAGAGGGTTTCACCACATTTGCCCAGTGATGTTGGGGCTTTAATAGCATTATTTTGCCAAAGTAAGATCTCCATTTTTCAGACCTCATTTGTGATTCCAAATGCTTTTGAAGGATACATCCTCCCATATTGTAGAAAGACCCAATGCGATAATTCTCCTCTAGAGAACTATATAAATTGAATGCTACTGTCAAGTTCAGATTTCTTGTCCACAGATGAGAAATCCTTATAGAGATTATCTAAATTCTAGATTACCAGAGTGACATTGTTAGAAGAAAAGTATTCCATGCTTGCTGGCACCTAGCCTCTAAAGATCTGAGTTGTCTTCATTTATAACCTTCACTGAAGGCTCTCAACTAGGAGAGGATCTGGAATTATCAGTACAGATTCAGTTTAAGGTCAGTTATGATCTTCAGTGGTAGGAGAACCTGAAGCTTTCCTGGTATGACTGTATTCTACCTCTCTGAGTACTTTGCCACATTCTGGTGGTTTATAATTTATTGCTCTCTGAACAGTTTTTCATCTTTATCAGGCTAAGACTAAACGGTGCTGCATGGCTCTCATTCCATCACATTAGTCCAAGTGTTTATGAGATTAGTCCATCTCATGGGTTTGGTTTTCGAATTCTGTGGCAGAGTTATATTATAGATCTTTCCTACAAAAGGTGCAGTATTGTCAGCTTGCTATAAACAGTGTTTTTGAAAAATAAAGCGCTACTCCCATCTCTTTGCTGTGATTTTTTAACTGTTTATGTTGCTAATAAATCAGGCTCATTGGGAAGCTAAAGTGAGCAATGCTTTACGAGTTCAAGTTGGGAAGGTTATTTTTTTGAGACAACTGACACTTAGCTCTCAATTAGTTCGAACGACTTTGAAGGCCTGCATGTTTGGACCCCGCTTATTTATCGCTTCAGTGGGACCTTTCCAGTAAACAACTTGTCTCCTTGTATATGTTTTATAGGAAGGTGGCGTGAGTGGCTTCCTGCATGCATTTGTAGCTGAAGTGTTTGCAATGGTCAGAGCTCACGTGGCAGCTCTTGGGGGAAACGCTGTTGTGTCTTACATCATGAAGCAATGTGTGTTTATGGAGAACCCAAACAAAAACCAGGTACCTATGCTAGCAGTAGCAAGTCCTCTTGGTGTCCATGTGGAGGTTCTGTATGTTAACCCGAAATCCCACAACTTACTACAGAGAAGATGGTGGCCAAATTAAACTACTCATGACTTGCTTCTGGAATTTTTGGGAACAAAAGGAAGAGGCCCTTGACCCCCATGAGATTGCAATGTGTCTAGGGCTTCGGAAATAATTTGTAAAAGGTGCTTCATAGCATGCAGCAGCATGGACATAGCACTGTTTGCTACCCTTAAAACAGTACAGTCTTTTCCTAGGATTGCATGGCTGCTGTCCATATGCTCCACATGATCATGGGAAAAGATGCAGCTGCTTTATTTAAGAGGTACTGATCAGTGCTAGACTCATGCTGCTAAATACTCGAAAAAACATTTTTGGAATTAAATCCGGATCATTAGATAGCCCCAATCTATAGGTATATAGCTTTTAAATTAAAATTATGGATTAATCCGTTCTCCAGTGGGCTGGCATGCCATCCTAGGGCTGCCTGAAAGCCACACCTGTTCTTCTTTACCCCAAAAGTGATAAGTTCTGTTTAAATTAGGAGCCATGCCTTGCATTTCACCTTGATTAGATATGTTAACATTTTAAATAATTTGTGCAGCTCTAAACGTTACGTGGTTTTGAATAGATAAACTCAAAGAGGATCCGAGAATAATTCTTTCCATAGATCATCTACAGACCCATTCCTAATTTTTGTCACATGTGATATAGCTTCCATCAGCTGTGATCCAGGTCCCCTAAAGCAGATCTGGCAATCTGTGGACTTCATGGCCCCCATTGTCTACCCCTCTGAGGCTTTGCAAGCATGGCCAACCCCTCCCCACAGACTCTGGAGCAGCTACGTTAACCCCTGCAATCAAGCTGGCCAGGAATTCTGGGCATTGCTCAGCAAAAAGCCCCTTAGATGATGAAGGCTCTCCTTCCCCT